GCATTACCTTGATTGCAATCCTCATCCATTACAACTTTACTAGTGAGATGCTGGTTTCCTTTATCCAGCCGAGAAGCATAGTTTGCGCCTCATCTGGCCATTCAGCGGTGGGATGTTTTGATCTTCCGTTCAGTCTGTATTTCAGACACAGTGCGATGTCTGAGGAAATAATCACTGAATATGACCGGGCTCGTGTTTTAAAGGCAAACACACACTGGACTGAATAATTCAGGCTTTCTCTTTTCCATCTCTGATGTAATCAGCCTGGTTCTCTTCACATTAGCGCTGTTTTGGACTTTTACAGCTAAACACCTTTGTGTTGTTATATTGTGTTCGTTTAACAAAATCATCAGCTGAAGTTTATTGCTGATATAGATATGTATATATGTGTTTGCAGACACATGGTCAACAGTCACAGTCGAGTGTTCACATACTGGCTTTGATGTTCCAATATGGAGGGTGGTTTACATGTAGTGGCCCATAGAAACAGATGCTAACTGCCTGTGTGACGTAAATTATGTTGCACTTTCATGTGCTTCAGTAATATATATATATATAAAATAAACGCGTAGTTTTACAAGTAATTATTTGTTTTAATTTGAATATTTTATAAATTCTTGGATGTAGCAAATTAGCTCACAAGGGAAATGTATATACATAATTACAATTCATTAAAATTAATTATAATTATTTATATCAGATGCCAGTAGTAACTGTAGCAGAATTCATATTACTATCAATTAATCTGCTCACTTTTCACAAAGAAAATAAGTCAGTTCTTTGTGTTCTTGTAATTGAGAAACAGCCAAAGTCCCTTTAAGACAAGTCATTTCACTCGGCAGCCATCTTTGAAATACTTCTCAGGCATGCAAGTGCAGCTCCTATCTTTTTTCACCAACCTTATGATTAAATTTCATATTTGAAATCACTAATAAAATCTGACAACAACTGCCTCATAAATGTTGTTTTTTTTATGTTCCAATAGCATTACAAAAGCTTATTTTTTAGGCTAGACCAGCCAATGCGCATGCACAGTCCTAGCGCGTGTCTTAGAACAATGACTGTTTCTATAGCAACTGGGGCTTCTAACGGCAGCTGCAGTGACGCAATGACTTTATCAATTGGTGATCGGCTCTTTTATTGAAAAGGCAGGTCTATTCCGCCATATTGCGTGTTACATTTTCTACTATTTATAAGTAATAGGAGTGCACCGTCTCTGGTATATCTAAAGTCTTTGAAGCAGTTGAGCACGGAGAGAATGGCATGTTGCATCACCTGCTGCCGATAACAGTTCGTCATACGCACGGGCGCTGGAGACGAGTAGCATTGCTGTTACCAGCCTCAGATTAGGTGTAAATTGTGCTTCTGTGCATCTTAAAGGAACACTCCACTATTTTTGAAAATAGTTGAAAATTTTCCAACTCCCCTAGAGTTAAACAGTTGAGTTTTACCATTTTCGAATCCATTCAGTCGATCTCCGGGTCTGGCGGTAGCACTTTTAGCTGTAGCTTAGCATAGATCATTGAATCTGATTAGACCGTTAGCATCTCACTCAAAAATGACCAAAGAGTTTCTATATTTGTCCTATTTAAAACGTGACTATTCTGTAGTTACACCGTGTACTAAGACCGACGGAAAATGAAAAGTTGTGATTTTCTAGGCCGATATGGCTAGGAACTATACTCTCATTCCAGCGTAATGATCAAGGAACTTTGCTGCCGTACCATGTGTGCAGCAGACGCAATGATATTACACAGCACCTGAAAATAGTCCCCAGCACGCTCCCTGTGCAAGCAGGTGGTCACATTGGTTATGTTGATGGAAGTCAGCCTATTTTCAGGCGCTGCGTAATATCATTACAAAATCAAAATCGCCTTGGCACTTACTCATCTTCAGCTGGTTCCATAAACTCAGCCATGTTTTTATTTGTGTCCGTGTAACCTTTAAGGTTAAAGTTTTTCAAACCTTAAGTTATACTTAGGGAAATTAACATTAAGGGGCTTTATGCAACACTTAACGTTTTTTAAGGGATTACTTTAAAATAGACACATAGGGGAAATTCTACAGGTTTATGTTTCACTTAAAGAAACCCTTAAAGGGGTCATACGATGCGATTTCAATTTTTCCTTTCTCTTTGGAGTGTTACAAGCTCTTGGTGCATAAAGAAGATCTGTAAAGTTGCAAAGATTAAAGTCTCAAATCCAAAGAGATATTCTTTATAAAAGTTAAAAGTTAAGAATCAGCCACACCTACCTAAAACAGCTCGTTCTAACATGCCCCAACATACCTACCTACCTCTGTGGGAAGATTTGCATAATGCCGCCCAAATGTTCACGCAAAGAAAGAAGGCGTAACTTTTATTCTCGCTGTAGTATTGTTGCCGCCGCCATGTCATGAAGACGCTGAGTGTTTCATTGTGAAAGCGAAACTACTTTGTTTGGTTTTCCAAAAGAGGACGATATCCGCTTCGTCATGCCTAGAGCTGATCTGTGCTGGTCACTGAGGGAATACAACAGTATGGTGAGGGGCGTAACATTTCCATCACACGCTTGAGGTATTCAGCCAATCACAACGCACTGGATAGCTGGCCAATCAGAGCACACCTCGCTTTTCAGACCGATGAGCTTTGTAAAAATCGACGCGTTTCAGAAAGGCGGGGCATAGAGGAGAAACAATAATGTACAGTATGTGGAAAATAATGTGTTTTTTTAACTTCAAACCGCATAAACACATTTCATTACACCAAATACACAAAATAATGTTCTTTTTAGCAGCATCATATTACCCCTTTAAGTAACCCTGAAGTGTTATTTTCAGCAACACCCTTAAGTTTAAGGGAAATTTAGGGGTGAACTTAACCCTTTGAGCGGTACGGTCCCACAGATGGGATTTAGAATGTTCGGTGACGTCACATAACCGCCAAATTCAAACTGTGCTTTCGCGCTTTAGCTGACGCTGAGCTAGAGAGAGAAGTGCACTACGCTTGTCATATAATCACAACTATGCAGTGTTCTTAACCACATAATGCAATTTTTTTTTACCTTTTTGAAAAATCTTATTTAAATACACATAAGTACTAGTAAAACAATACATTTAGAGTTCGTAAAATACACACATGTCTATGGAAGCAACAATAACAATCCATTCAAATTTAATTTGCCGATGTGTTTAATTCATATCAGATACACAAATAAAAAAAACAAAATAAAAGCGATGCTTCTGTCATACAGTGTTATTGTGGCCGTGGTGTGTCACGTAACAAGCATGACGCATCACCATGGAACACTCGGCACGGACGCACTGGCACACAGCTGGCCGCGGGAAGGCTGTCTCCCTCCACCCTGAAAGTGTATGTCGCTGCAATTGCTGCTAACCACGACCCCATACAAGGGAGGTTCCCTCTAAGCGAGATCCCAATTTCGTCGGTCATCCGACGTGACGTCTCCGTTCCCTCCTTCAGGGAACGAGGGTTACCATACGTAACCGAGACGATTTTATTGCTGCAGAATCTCTGCGCTTTAAACCAGTTCAGTCTCTGAGAATCACCTGAAAATAAAGAATAAATTAAAGAAAAAGATAAAACCATAAAAATCCCACAGGCCAGGGGTCTTCAACTAAAGCTGCTCGAGGTCCAGTAATGAACTCTCCTCACCAGCCGAGGTCCGGACAGTTATATAGGCCTATCTAAAACATAAATTGGTGGTTTCTGGCAGACCACGGTATCTGCAGGATATTTAAGCTCATATTTAAGACTTTTTAAGACCTGCACAAATAAAATTAAAATGACTGTAAAAAGCATGATTTCGAGTTCAGATACAAGTTTTCACAAAAACAAAAAGGTTTTTAAAATGATTAACTTCACATTTCAGCCTTTAAACCATTTTTTTTAAGAAAATGGAGGCAAAAGTATCAATTATTAGGCTATATTAATTTAAATTATTATTATCAATCAATTATAGCCTATTAATTAAATAATACATCAATATATTTTACTGTCTGAATGTTTTAAATTTTTATAATGCATTAGCTTCTTGTTGATCCACCAGTTCACATTTACAACTCTGCGTGTTTGCATGAAAACATGGGTTGATTTTCACATTGGTCTGAACAACAACAGCGGACGGGCTTAATAAAAATGCGCATTCATTCTCTGCCAGCAGGAGGCGCTTTTGGAACAGCAGAAACACAGCGGTTTCCCCGGTAACAGCAGAACACAAAGCAGCGCAGCAGCTGACTCTGAAACGTGCAGCGCTCATATTCAATTAAATCAGAGGCTTTTGAAGTTTTATCATCATATTAATCCGTATCGCAATTCTCATCTTACCATCCCCACGTTTAAGACCTCCTAAAAATCCTTAAGACTTTCTTGTACTATTTAAGACTTTTAATGCCTTAAATTTGATACAACTAAATGTAAGACTTAAGGACTTTTCACTCACTGAAAGTTTCATCTGTCCGCTCTCTGCTCTCTTCATTGCACGCCTGACTGTAGCAACTGTTAACTGTAGTAACAACCCGTGGTGCTATAGGACCGCTGAGAGCTCTTCTGAGCTGACCTTGATGTGCTTGATATACATTTGATCTTGTTAGAAAATAGCGCTTGGCGTTTATTTATTTCATTATGTCAAAATGCTTCACCAGCTGCTGACCACTGATAAAAACAGACTTACACTGACGGAATGTTCAGATGAGCCACGACTATTCAAACTCCAGCTGACAAAATTCTAATCTAAACTCCCACAATCCCTTGAGACTCAATCAAGCCTAGAACATGCTAAACCATTCCAAAACATGCTAGCAATGTGATGATAATACTAGCAACTGCATAGCGAGACCCTAGCAACCACCCTGTGTGCCCTAGCAACTGCCTAGCAACCACCCTTAACATGTTATCAACAGCATAGCAACCACCCCAAGTACCATAGCAACCACTTATTTAAACTTCATTTCTGTCTAATATTTTTAAATCTGTCAAACTAAAACTTCTGTGTGTTTTCTAGTGTGGATCATGGAGGAGAATCCAGGATTACAGCAGGACTAAAGAAATGTACGTCTACACACACACACACACACACTCTCTCTCTCTCACACACGCGCACACACTCATATATAAAACACACACACAGCTGTAGTGATTGTTGTTGTTATTAATGTCTCTGTTCTTGTGTTCAGATGGCTGTTTTCTCACACTGGATCCAAACACAGCAAACACTCGTCTCAGTCTGTCTGAGGAGAACAGAAAGGTGACACTTGTGGAAGAGAAACAGTCGTATCCTGATCATCCAGACAGATTTGATCGTGTGCTTCAGGTGTTGTGTAGAGAGAGTGTGTGTGGACGCTGTTACTGGGAAACTGAGTGGAGTGGTGTTGTGTTTATATCAGTGTCATATAAGAGCATCAGCAGGAAGAGAGGTGTTGAGTGTGTGTTTGGACGTAATGATCAGTCCTGGAGTTTGATCTGCCGTCCCTCCAGTTACTCATTCAGACACAATAACATAAAGACTCGTCTCCCTGTGAGGCCCATCATCATCAGTAGAATAGGAGTGTATGATGATGATATCAGTAGAATAGGAGTGTTTGTGGATCACAGTGCAGGAACTCTGTCCTTCTATAGCGTCTCTGACACAATGAGCCTCATCCACACAGTCCAGACCACATTCACTCAGACGCTCTATCCTGGGTTTGGGGTTTATTATGAATCATCAGTGAAACTGTGTTAAAGAATCAGAGACTGAGGAGAGATTCTACCCATAATGCTTTGAGCTGCATGATAAATCAGTGACAGTGAGATGTTATAGTCTCTTCATGACATTAATACTGCAGCTCAACTTCTGACACTGAAATAACAGTCAGAATAAATGTGTCAGAAATCCTCATATATGGCGCTTGTCCACTGCGTGGTACGACTCGGTTTGCGTTTCCACTGCAAGTTCAGTGACGCAGGTAGTGACGATTCTCTCCGGCCAATCCGTGATCAGCAGAGTTTAATCGTCACGTTTTGGTAACAGTACGGTTCACTTGGAACCCCAACCGAAGTGGTACTAAAAAAAGTACCAGGTACCAGGTACTGAACCCAGTGGAAAACCCCCCAAAAGTGAACCGTACTGTGCCGTACCATGCAGTGGAAACGCGCCATTATAGACAGTAAGATCAGTGTGAGTGTGTGTGTGTGTGTGCATGAGAGTGTGTGTGTGTTTATCTACATTTGTGTTTTTATTGTAGTGTCACATCAATAATTTGTATTATTACTATCAAAATGTTCTTTCAATTGAAAAGTTCTACATGAATCATGTTTGTGAAAAGTACGTCATTCATTTTTCTCTATTGTTTTTGTGCATAAATAATAAAAGACGATGAGAAATGAGCTTGAGATCAGATCTGAATGGATGTTTGTATCATGAATATAATGATTCCTCACAAGACTGACACGAGCTTCAGGAGAGTTTCTGACATTATAACATAAAACATTCATCACAGCATTTAATCAAATATACTGTAACTACAGAAAAGCTGTATTACATTATTATGGGATCTCTTTCAAGCGCTGATTTTATTTACTTATTTTTTTATATACTAAAAGATGTAAAAATGTGTAAAAATATGTTATATTATATTGCACTTAAAAATAAAAAGTCAGTATTTAATAATGAAATAAAATGATTATTTTGGCTATTACTATAATTAAATTATAAAAAATACAAGAAATAAAGAAATATTATGATAATAATCATAATAATAAATATATCAATAATATTTATATATTATAATTGTTTTATTTATATTACAACAATTTAACAAATCAATAAAAAAACGTATTATTGCAATAATATTACTGCAATACTTATTAAATAAAAAGCAGGGGTTAAAGCAAAAAAAAAATCCTGAGCCTGGGGTGGGGGGTGGGGGGGAATACATAAACAGAATGACATTTCTGAAATTGTTTTGTTCAAAAGAAATAATGGTAAAGTAAGAAATGAATATAAAACAGGAAATATACAAATACAGAAAACTACAGTTCAGTTTAAATAACAAATACAAAAACATTAAAATGGTCCAAGAACTGGTAACTTGAACAGGGTTCGCACAGATACGGCAAAATTAAATTCCAGGACTTTCAAGGACTTGCACTACTTTTTTGGTTTTCAAGGACTAAAATCAGATCTCACTTATCAATCAATATTGTTATTATCTTTCAAATTCTAATAAATAAACTAATAAAACAAAATGGTACAAATAAAGTGCAGCACATGCAAAGCATGCAATGACTGTGGCAACTTTAACATTTGAAAGGATACTATGGCAAAGTTATCGCTTTCCTTATTCAAACTGATTATTTTTAATGAATATATGATTGACCTGAAGAATGAAAGCTAGGCTATATCATACACTTGGAAAATTATGAGCTTTATCACTCTCATAGACACTAGGGGTGTGACAATATACTTAGCTCACAATGTGAGACACAATGCAGATACTTGGTTCACAAGAACGAGACAGTGTTTTAATACTTTAAGAAATTTTCAAATGACAAAATATTTGTCTTTTAATCACAAAAAGTAAAACAATGCAGTTGTATTTTGAAATGTTT